TATATATATATATATATATATATATAAATTTATATAGTTTGTGTCCTTATTAGCGACTTTAAATACAGTCGCTTTTTGTGAATTTTGATAGATAAATTTAAATCTGTAAAGAATAAGTAAAATACAACCCGATTTCTATCATAAACTCGTTTTTAATGCCTTTGCAAGTATAAAAGAATTTTTTTCAGATTTTTGTATGATACAGTATGAAATAATATAAAAATCTGCATTGTAGTTTAAAGATTCAGATTACGAACAAAGAATGAAAATTTCACATTGTCGACAAAAAAGATATATATGTGTGCGTGCGTGTGTGTGTGTGTGTGTGTGTGTGTGTGTGTGTGTGTGTGTGTGTGTGTGTGTGTGTGTAATAATATTATAATATTAACATTCTAATATTTTTGATGCAGAACAAATTGTACGGTAAATAATGACATACTGTGTCTGGGCAGACGGAAGTTTATGAAGAACTTACCTTGTAACTGGACAGTTGGATATCGTTGGTCTACGGCTTTGATCTTAAGCATTACTCTTGGAGGATTTGGTGCAGATAGGTATTTTATGAGACTTTAGCATACTATTTGGAATATAGACAATCGATTAAGTATAAATTTTATATAAGATTCTTATATGAATTATAGGTTTTACTTGGGACACTGGCAAGAAGGTATTGGTAAGCTTTTTAGTTTTGGTGGACTAGGTGTGTGGACTTTAATCGACGTAATATTAATCTCTATGAGATATCTAGGTCCTGCTGATGGCTCTTTGTATATTTAGATTATTTATGAATTTTGTAAATATCAATACCAGAAGATCTAAGTCTTATTTTTTATTATAATTTATGATAGTCGTTAAGAATATGTTATATTTGTTGAACTAGGTACAAATTAATGTGATATATGTACATACATAAATGCGAGCAAGTCTTTTATAAAAATGAAGTTTACATTTGTTTAGCCGTAGACAATAACTGTCATTTTCACATAGATTTATTGTTTGATTAATGTTTAATATAATCTCTGTATAAAATTCTTAGAAGAGAAGAAAGCAAATGTAAAATGTTGGTTTTTGTAGAAAATTATAAAAATAATTATATATGAAATAAATAATTATATGCAATATTCTGTTAATAAAAAATATGTATTTATAGATCATAACAAATTCTAATTTAATTTTTATTATTTAAAAGAAAGTTAAATTATGCTATTTTCGATTCTTATATTTAAGATTGTTTTAAGTACATTCAAAATGTCATGGTCATCTAATCGAAGAGTCATATTAGCATTTTAAGACTATTTAAAACGATCTTATAAAAATGGATGGATACCAGTCTTAGAGAGCTTCAACATAAGATCTTTTATGTTGAAGATTGTTCAGAATAGACTAGAGAATTTGAAACATCTGTAAATTTAACGTAAACAGTAGCAAATATAAAGTGTTGATTTACTTATTGTGTAATCTATAAAAGTTTTAGAATAAATATTATCTTTTATGTGCCCTCCCTTTTCAAGATTGGTTCAATTTTTATTCTTTAGTGTGAGATTCCATTCCAAAGAATTTATAGAGTATCATTTTATTGTTGTTCATATATATTAAACAAAGATAAAATGATATATCATACTCACTTGTTTAATATATATTTTATGGAACTAAACTAAATCAGTCACTAAAGGACTGTTAGCCCTGTCAGCTCATGTTAGGTTAGGTTTGTGGTTAAGAATGATCGAAGTTTGTGTTAGGAATGTATCAGTATATATGTAGATGACTACGTTCGGTACATGATAATATTATTAATCTAAGAAATACATTAATATAAAAGTATTGTTAATAAAATTTTTTAATATTTATTAACTTGAGACGAGCAATTGTTCTTTGCGAAGAAACAGATATCAATTCACAGGAAAATTTAATACGCTTTCTACATAACCTACGTTTATTAATACGTTGTCAAAGAAGTTTATGCAGATTCAGAAGAAAAAGTTGTACGCGGCTAATAAATATATTATGGGATTTAAGTATCTGTAGTCTTTAATCACGCTGACTTTATTCGGGCATCAAAATGCCTACAGTAATAGCGTTGGACGTCTCTCTCTCAATGAGAAGACGTGGATCTATGATTGGGAATGAATATTCACCAAATTATGAATCATTGACGCGGCATCAATTAGCGCTGCATGGCATAAACACTCTGTTACACTACTTGCAAGTTAATTCAAAATTAGAATTTGTGTCAGTGGTAAGAACAGACTAATATGATGTCAGATAACATATCTATTATAATAGGTATATTAATACATGTAAATTTAACAAATTTCAAATTTCAGATTGCATTTTCATCATTATACGAAGTAATTTGTCCTTTTACTCGCGATTATGAGGGCATACGCAGCAAATTACGAATTATCGATGAGTGTGACAAGACATTTATTGAAGGAGCATTACATGGAGTTAATAATATAATTATGGCGGAATGGGGTAATGCCACGGCTTGCCAAGTAATATTAATTACAGACGGCAATCCTGGCATAGGACCAATGTCTTTAGGCAATTCTTTAAATTCTTTAAATGTCACACAAGACGTAAATCCCTTTCCCTTACCTTTTCCATATCCAGGAAAATTAAGTATAGTTTGCATTGCATCGCAGCAGGGTAAGTTGAAATGCGAAAAAACATTTCTATTCATTTTTCATTTCTTATATTTAAATATGTCGCTTGTATCATGTTTGCAGATCCTAGTTTGCAGACCGGTTTACCTCTCTATCAGCGTTTAGCTGACCTAGCTGGTGGTGACAGCATTGTATTAGTTCCTGAATCACCACTTAGCAAACATTCCATCATGACTTGCTTCCAAAAACTAGCGGAAGCAAATTATGTTTCTTTCCAAGGATATCTAAAGTGTGGCCATTTAGGCTCCCGTATTTTATTATCACCAGCCCCTATGGTAATGACACTAATGACAAACATGAAAGCATATGCTATATTACATACTAGGTTACCAGTTATATAGACCTATTACATATGTTTCAGCCTTATACAAAGAAGACAGATTTCGAATTAGCTCCAGGCTTGGCAATATCAAAAACTATAGAAATATGTGGATTTATATCTGTAGGAGATGTTGGTAGCCCAAGTTCCATTTCTAGACATTTAGTATTGCCATTGACAACAGAGAAAAATTCAAGCATGCAGGGCATATCATTAGAAGAGGAGTCGGATACCGATGAAAATGAAGATGAAGGAAAAATGCCATCTTTTTGTGTGTTGCTTCATGGAGCATTAAAAGTAAAGTCTTATTAGGAATCTAAAAATTATTTGAATGTGATTAAATCGATAGATAATTGATATATTTTGCAGGTAGAAAACATGGCAGCTCTTTGTATGTTGAATAACGAATGGTATGGATTTATATATTCTTGGGCGGATACAAAGAAGAAATCTAACTTAATGCTAACAGTATTAGAACCGGGATCTGACGTTGTACCGTGGTTAGGCAATTTTAGCAATTTGGGTCCATTAGATACGGTTAAAAGTTCTCCAGTTAATTTTCCAGTTAGACCAACTGAGAAGAGAAGCTATACACAAAATGCTCCTTCATGGATTCGCCAAGTTGGCTTACAGTCTGATATTCAAAAAATATTAAGACATGCGAGAAAATTACCCGACAAGACACAAAATTTTTACAAGGTAAATTAGATTGATCAAAAGAATAAAGCAATTGTATATGATTTAAATGATAAAATGATAAATTTTTATGAAATGATTATTTTTTACGCATACAGGAGGTAAACAGATTACGACGTGCAGCAGCGTCTATAGGATTCATCGAATTATTAGAAGGATTAGCGTGCATTTTAGAGCGAGAATGCACATTGCTACCACCGAATCTAAACCCTGACTGCACGATCCAAATGGGGCATGTTGCATCGATGATCAGAAAGCCAGAATTTCATGAACTTAGATACAATATTCCACCCGCACGAACGAAATTTCAACCTGGATCATAATTTACAATGCACAGTAATTGAAATGTTATTTTATTTATATCAAAGCATTCATACAGCAAAAATAAAATTTGTATTTGTTATAATCTATATCCCATATTAATATCACATTACATTATTTATATTAAGTATTTCTATATTCTTAACCTTTTTTATTTTTTTCTAGATATATTATGTCATATGTATATAAGAAAGTGTATATAGACCTTGAACACATACACTATTATTTCTTATTAATCATTTAACAGTTTAGATTAAGACTGTTAACTCAATTCCAAATTTCTTATTAAGTAACACAAAATTTTATATAAACCGTTTGCAGTTTGTTTACTAGAATACTTGTTAAAATCTGGAACATGCACAAACAGAGTTTTTGTTGGCTCAATACAGAGCGATTGATAAAATATATATTCACACAGATATCTGCCAGCATTGTCCGACAGACAGACTTTGCATCCGCTTTTTTCGAAGTTTTTATTCACATTATTGCAAAGTTCTTTGACATCTATTTCAGTTTTCAAAACTTTATACTCGACATTAGTTTCATTGGGGCATTTATTATATATATCGAATCTGTTGTAGCCATTGCTATAAGCATGTTGCTCTATCGTTAAAGATTTAACTTCATGTGATACACCCACATGTAAGACAATCTAAAACAATAGAAATAATAAGTGTTAATTAAAATATGAAATTTGCAATACAATCATTAAGAAAGAAAAAAATCAACGATCAATAACGAATTAAAATTGATTATTATAATATTGATAAAATTGATTCATTAATAAAAATATAAAAACATTTTGATTCTACTAAATCTTCTACTAAATTTTTCCCTTTCAATTTAACATATTAATTGACAAATCTATTTAATAAACCAAAACAATGCGATATAAATTGAGACAGCATTTTTCGTACAAAACAAATAAAAAACATTAATGACATTAAATTGAACGAAGAAAATTAATGAAAATTTCATAATAGAATCGAAACGTTCTTATATTTTTTTTTATTAATAAATGAATTTTATTATTTTATGACAATCAATTTTTGTTCGTTTGGCCTTTTCTTTTTTATTGAAAAAAATAAATATTTATCAAGAAATTATTATATACCTACATTTACATATAACACTACTTACCGAAGGATTGTGTTTCTTCCAGAGCTGAGGAATATGATCAGATACGTAATCGTACGAAACTGGAATTTTTTCTATAACTAGCTTAACGTCGGAAAATTCCACGGAATTCTTCCATAGTTCCTGCAATTCCTTCACCGCCTCCCAGCTGGCGTTCACTGTGTGTGTACTGAATGGACCAAATCCAGTCACTAGGATTGTACATTTGGCATTGACGTCCATTTTATAAATGCAATATTCAATAATTTCGGTGTTCGAATCTATTCTGGTTAACTTGAAGACTTAGCTTTATTTATAAGATGCTTATGAATAATTTCTCGAAGCACTATCGTGTAGTGTTCCTATAATAATCTATCATTACAAGTACACTATTGCATGACTGACACCGCCTTAGAGACTCGTAAATGATAACGCGAATCACGAGCGTGTTTGCTCAACGTTCACGATATATTGACATCGCTAGAAAGTTTCACTCGAATATTTATTGCATGCTAGTAAATTTATAAATCTATAAATATCGCATGTGGGATGCATATCAAACGACGTCCAACATCTCTGTCATATTTTATAACATTTAGACTAAAGTATGTATATCATATATATTTGTAAATAAAAATGACTAAGAGACTCCGTACAACAAAAGGAACAGAGAACAGAGAATAAGAATTTCAACCTATCAGAAATCATGTATTGTGGAATACACAGTTTCTGATAGGTTGAAATTCTTATTCTCTGTTCTCTGTTCCTTTTTTTATATCCGAAGCTCCTAAATGTCAAGAAAACGAGAGAAAAATATTGCATTCTGGAGTGCGTTCAGGAATTGCACCCAAATAATTGTAGTGTACATTTTTATTATAGTATACGTAACATAAATTGTAGTCTAGAATTATCTGAGCGTAATTCCTGAACACATCCCTGTGTAATCAAATACTCGCTTTGATGCAACATCTACAATGTGGAATGAATAAAAGTAGATTCGATTACTGTCATTAATATCTACCGAATCGAATGTCGTGATTGTGATGCTACCTACATAAGACAAAGAGGAAGAAAATTAAAAACGAGATAGCAAAACATCGCAATCATATAGAATTACATCCACTCATTCGGTTATCATAGATCATAGGATAAGTTGCAATCATGATTTTGATTGGGATAATGTGAGAATTTTGGATTCTGAAAGAAATTATAATAAGCAAATAATGTTGGAGATGCTCTATATAAATTGTCAATCCAATGGTTTTAACATGCAAACTGATACTGACATTAAATGGATACATAGAAATTTTCAACAAGTTATAATATGTTGTCATTGACTGATATGCTTTATTCGCGCGACATCTCTTTTTATATTCAAAAGATATTATGTGATTAACATTAAAACGAACATGACTCTCTTTTATGTTACTTAAATTATATTTCAATCTAATTTTGTGATTTTTTAATTTGTTATAATGGCTTGTTTGGATCTGCATCGTTGTTGGAAATGGGATGAGTTTCTGGCTAGCATATATTAATTATGCAAATTAATATCCATCTATTCAAAAATATTTTATTGCAATTATTAGCTTGAGTTCCATCTGTTCCACCCAGCTAAGCAACTGATTGGCACAACATTGACAGATGTTGAAGATGATTGTCTTTCACCATATTTCCATTGCGACTGCATTATTTTATTTTATAGTGCGATAAGCGGTAATTTTTTATTGCTGAGGATGGCTCAAATAGCCGAAACATATAAAATTTGTGATTAATGGATATTAGTTAACATGCAATGTAATATCCAGCGCTAATTCATAACGCTCATTTGCCGTTATTTTTTCATTATATTAATTTAAGAAATCTATAGATTTTATATATTTCTTTACTTGAATTCATTTAACAAGATATTAATTACTAAACATCACTGAATATTGATTTTCAATACTTTTTTATTCAAACTATTAATGTTACAAAAAAATAGCGAGAAACAAAAATTGTTTATTTTCTTCTCATAAAGTTCTGAGAATTTTTTCAGAATTTTTTAATATCATATTTTCTCATGTTGGTAAAAATAATTGCTAATATATAAGAAAATGCAGTACTAAAAGATTGATAAGAGATTTTGAAAAAATTCTTAGAGTTCTATGAGAAGAAAATAATTTTTGTCTCTTGCAGTTTTTCTATAAAGTTGATAGTATTTGAAAAAAAAAATTATTGAAGACCAAATCGACAATTTTTAATAATTAATATCTTGTTAACTATTGCGAAAATTGTAAAATGATAAGAGGACTTTTCGACTCAGTTTAGTCTATTCTATCTTTATTCATTTTATCTTTATTCATTCTATCTTTACCCTATTTTTACAGCGAAAAAATGTAAATTATTATAAAATATTGTTTTGTATTGGATATTGTTTAGCATATTCTTTTTAAATTCTTTCTTTTTAAATAATTATTTTTTATGAATCTTTATGCGTTTTTATCAAAAACGCATAATAAAAAAACATTATTTAAAATTTTTATTTTTTAAAAATACTATCAAGCTACTTCACATGTTTAAATTTAATAATTTTAATTGGAATGTAAAAAAACACTTTAATGATCGCGCTTATATAAAGAAGAAATTGGATGGAATTAAATATATAATTCGGAGTTAAATATATAATTTTTTTTATATATAATTAAAAATATAACATGGAAAGTAAAATCATGCATATTCACTAGTTAGGATGCGTTCTGTATTCACGCTTATATAAACATTTCATTCTTATTGCATCTATCAAATATTAAACAAGAATAAATGATGTTTATAGTGCGATACGCACTTGATACAACGCTGTAAGCATCAAAAAGTACTCTTAAAATGTTGTCCTCAATCTAATTAAAATGTTGATTCAATTTAAAAATGATTTATAGAAAAGTTGCTAATTTTTAGCCACTTTTCTATCAACGATAGAAGTGATATATATGTAGACAGAAATTTTTCCTTTATTAAGGCTGGATTTTTAACAATATTTCAACAACGCTTTAAAATCTTATTTTGTCCATAGCAATTAAAATTTCTATTTATATAGATACAATAAATATAATAATCGAGAAATAATGAGTGAAATATATGTATGTAATAACTTGAATATACAACGTTATATAAAAATATAGAATATATATAAAATTATATATATATATAATTTATTTCAGAACTCTTTTTATATAATATTACATTAAGCCATTCGAGACAAAATATGCACATAATCTTTATGTATATCATTTATATATAAAATGTCTTTAAATTTGTTTATATATAGATACATAAATACTTTCACATGAAGAAGATCAATAGATTTTTATGAGATTCTGTTTGTATAGAGATTTATTACGAAGCACTATATGTTATTGACACAATTCCATTTAAAATTTTTTTTTTACTAGTTTTATTTATCATTGTCATTTTAGAAGTATTTATATATTTATATAAGAACATTTGATCACAATGTTTGTAAGTCATAGTCAATTAGTGTAAGTATACTGCATGTATAATGACAGTTTCATAATATCATTGATTAATTCTATAGAGTTATAATTAATTATACATGACAAATGAAAAGTAAAAATTAAATATATTTATTAATAATTTTTAAAAAATCGAGGCAATTAATATATTCATTTCTCCCACATTTACCTATATAAAATCATAGGTGATTATACGATATTTGTGATTATACGAAATTCTTAGTTTTCATCAACATGGTCAGTGTTTTGTACATAATTGTTATAATAATTTCATAAAATCACCGAATTAAGTACTTGTATATATATCTCAAAATATCTTCATATAACTTTGCATATAAAAATACATTCATTTATATTTCGAAGAACAAGTCTGCGTTATCACTAGCATATTTGTTGGAAGTAGCATATTAAGAGGAGAAGGAGTTGAAACATTCATATACATACGTACGTATTTGTAAAAGATGGACGATAAATGCAACGGAAATTCCATATATGATTGAAAATATTGTATTTTAGGTCTATACTAGTGCCAATAAGCATTTTTTATAATGTCCTGAGCAGTCACCCTGAAGAAAAAAAAGAAGAAAGAGATTAATATTGTAATATTGTAATATGGAATATTTTTATATTTTTATATTTGATAACTTACAGATATGAAATCTTCCAATGATTCTTCATATCGATGAACAAAATCATTCTTTATTTCACCCATATCCACTTCACAACGTGTCACAACCAATCGAATGAGACGGTTATCATCTGTACCAATGCCTTTCATGCTTTTGTACAACTGTTCGGCGAAGAAACCGGCTTTGTTCTTGACACACTTTACTATTTAAAAGATATTTATTTTAATTTATTTTAATTTATTTTAAGTAATATTAGTAATATCTAGTTTTCTCTTATATATTTATAGCTTATTCTCACCAATTGCAAGAAGACCCTTCTTAATATCGCCCGAAAACTCATTTTCAATCGCATCATCAATATCATGACCTGTTATGTTATGGTATTCTTGAAATATTTGTCGCAGTTGTGCCATATTTCTTTGGACAAGAATCGCGTTAAAAGTAGACTCATCCGTTCCAAATCGAAGCTCCCCTGTTTAATATTAATAAAAAATATTAAAGAAGAGTACATTAATTATATATATATATATATATATTCTGCATATTTTACATATTATAATATATATTATATAGACAATGTGGCTATTTCTATTAAATATTTTATTAATTACCAGCTTGCAAAAGTTTTTTGGCATCTTCCATTGCAGCAGATTGATTCACATTAAATGATTCATCTCTATTGGCACAACATAATGATACCATCAAGCGTTTGAAATTGCCAGATGTATCAGAAATTAAATCATCTTCCAATGTTTTTCCGTACACTGCAATTATTAAATAGTATAATAAGCAAATAAGTCATTTTGTAATTTTAATATTATTTAATTTTAATATAATTGTAATCTTAATCTCATCAGTTAACTTACTTGCTTCATATGCTTGTTTAATAATCGAAATTTCATGATTGGACATTGTACATAATACTTCAATAAGTACCGTCTCATCGGTACCAAGACCAGACATTGCATCATGGAGTTCTTTAGCATAAAATTGAGGTAGAGGCATCATCAAGGCAAGAACAAGTTTTTCGAAGTTTCCTGACAGCTCAGATTTTAAATCCTTTATCAGATCCTGTTAACAGAAATGCAACATATTGTAGTATTAAGCTCTAATTTTGCAAAACGAAGTTCTTAAACGAAGTTTTTAAATTCTCATCTACTGTACCTTTCCATAAAGGGTCTTAAATTGAGATGCGATTTCTTGACGCTGTAGATTACTACGATTTGCAAGAACATGAATAATAGCTTTTTCATCGGTGCCAAATCCTTTCATAGCTTTTCTTAAAGTTTCAGCATCCGCTCTGGCATCAAAGCCATCGTAAGGTACTACCGTGGGAGAAGTCTGTAACAAAATTTGTGAAGTTTTAAGAAATTTACGCAAAGAGTAAAAGAAGTTTTTGCTTTTCTGCAAGATTGTAATAATGCTGTTGCCTCAATACCTGTGCAAAAAATTTAACTTTCTGAAAAATCTTAAAAGAATTATTCTTAATCTCACCTTAGACGTAAACTGATCTCTCCGGGGGGCTGGGGTAGTACCACGAGTAGCAGCAGTAGGATTAGCAGCATAAGGATACTGTGAGCTTACCCCCTGCCCCCCGGGATAGCTACCTCTCTGGTATGGAATTGAATTAGCTGTGTGTGCATTTGGTCCAGAAGGATAAGGGGAAGGAGTTATATTGCTAAAATATTCTTTAGCATCTGGTGCTGTTTGAAGATTAGGATATGAATTATAATTTTGCTGTTGGGGATAAGGAGATGGTGCAGATTGATTAGAATGTGTATCAGGGGGATAACACGTGGCTATAGATTGGGGATATGGCATTTGTTGTGGAGGATAAGTATTAGTTTGACTGGGTGCATTGCCAGGGAAAGGATGCGAGGGCTGTATTGGATAGGGAGCTTGAGAGTATGGTTGAGGCATGCCAAATGATGTCGGTGGAGCATTTGAGAAGCCCATTGAAGAATAAGATGGAGCATTAGGGGCAGAGGGTGCACCAGATGGAGCTCCAAATGATGTTGGTGGTCGTGCTCGTCCCGGAAATTGAATAGGTGGTCCCTTGGATATTAAGGTATATATGTATATATATATATATATATATAGAGATATACACACAGAAACAAATAGTTCCAATTCATAGAAGTTTCGTCTAATAATAAGCTTATTTTCTTCAAATAATGAGCTTATTTTTAAGTTATATTAATAAACTATATTAATAGATTGTATTAATAGACTGCATAAGGTTTATATTTTCAAGTAAAAACTTATCATAGCTTTATAACCCAGATAAACGTAATATGTTAAACATGCAAACATTTTTATGTACACTTTGTGATATTATCATAACAGCACGAAATTATAAAATTTGTGTATCTACTACAATGTCATTTTGTTGTTGTACATTTTATGCATTTTACAATATAGCAAACAGCACATCGCCGTAATTTTTACAGCAGAAGAACTCTTTATATGCTGAAAACATTCATGTTATATGTAGAGTACTCATCTTTGAGTATTTATGCAACCATTTTCAATTTCAAATTTTGTCGTTATTCAGACAATATGCCAACAATTATCTGGAAATATGCATATATAATCTTCTAGATAATACACACATCCAAAGAATCTCTATGAATGTTTTATGAATTGTACATTTTTAGAACATTCTACAAACATTTTTAGAAATTCTGCGCTGTATGCATCAATCCATTTTCATAAAAATATAATATATATAATACATAGTTTAAAAATATGCTCTTCAATATATTAACAATAAATCAAATGTATGTACTTACTTGATAACCGTAGCTCATTTTTTCTATTCAAAAATTAAATCTGTCGCAAGGGGAGAACCTGCACACAGAGAAGAATGCTAAATTATAGACTTCCTCTATCTATACACTACACTACGGAAATTGTTAAATGGCGATTCAGCTAGTAATGACATGATATATATATAGCCTGCAGAAAACAAAATACTCGCCAATCCGGATTCTCATGCAGACATTGCAGACATTGGCGCTTGCTACTTTAACGTCCAAGCGTCAGTGATGAAAAATGGATGGGGGTAAATTACTCCTAACTCGTTTTTCCAATCAGTGCTCGGTGTTTGTACATATGTGGAATATGAGGTTCGGATTAATGCATGTATGTGTGCAGTGTATATTGTCATGTATGACTGCGTTCCATTAACGCTTACAACGTGGAATTATTTTATCCTTGTTGTTTATCAAATGTTAAACAAGGATAAGCATGCTCGCACGGGCATTGCGAGTAGTTGCGAGCGTTAAATGGAACGCAATCTGTAAGTCCATCTAACTCCGCATATGAATTTTGACAACATTTGATCTGCGCGTTTTGCGAATTTGTGCTAATAAAATGTCAATAAAGTAATCGAACCTAAAATTTCGTCTGCATGTCCTGATTAGTCGTGAGTACCATGCAAACATCTGCTTTATCACCAGAAAATAGTACAGTAACAGACTAATGCTTGCATGGTATACTGAGTATGCACTAATGTGTTGACACGTTTGGTTATTGGATACATAATTTGATAATTCCGACACACATTATTATTGTAGAACTCTATAGAGCATTACTATTTGCTGGAATAAGACCGCGAAACGATCATAATATATTATAAATTATATCGCAAATCACAGTTATTATTTATTCGTAAGCTGACACGTGTCACGCATATATCAAGAATTGAGAGAGAATATTCACCTTGAAGAGAAAACAATTAAACAGATTGGTGCCAGCTAACGAAATATCAAAATGTTCTCAAAATAAAAACTGTATATGAACGATATGCTACGTTAAGTCTTACTCTAGAATTTATAATGTCATCAGCTCTCGATACTCACTTGAGATTGTTCACTGAATTACGAGATTACGAGCTTCTGGCTATTGTGACGTGTAAAAATGACAACGATGAAAAACACCGTTCAATTCACTGCCTTCGGCGAAGGAGAATGAGTCATGAGAGTACGGTGAATCGAAACAAACGCCGACGCATAACAAGGACGGACTGGTAGTGGAAACTGGCTGCTGTCGAATGACGAGACTGCCGAGACCCGAGACTGTCGAGACTGCCGAGCTGCTGCCTGGGTCTGGCTGCTGGCTGTTGACGAGAGTTAATAAAATAGTGGGAAGATCTTCTCTAATTTGCGTTTTACGTCATCAAGCATTCCAGGAAAACCGCGGTGTACTACAACAAGACTGAATGCTGCATTATAATTTGACAAGCACGAGTCGATGTCAAAATCTCACATTTATCAATTTCTTTCTATTTATCCATTTTACTTATAGACATGCTTAAATCTTTAAAGAACTAATTTAAGTTTATAAATGTAGTTAAATAATTTATTTTCGTCTTTTATTTATTATATTTTCATTTTTATAGGATAGAATAACTGTCCCTATTAATATGCCTTTTAGCCAATTTGCTTATTACTGAATTAATTATTAGATATTGTAGCTTTAATTTTATCTACTTGCAATCAATATCGGTTTTTCAACTACTTCTTTTTTTTATAATATTTCTTTAAACAAAGTTAACACTTTATAATGCTTTTGACAAAAATAGAAAACATGTTTTTGTTCCTATTAGTGAGTTCTTTAAGGCGGCTATAACTTTATTAATGTCTCTAATTTATGTATCTATCCACACATTTGACTCATTTTAACATATATATAGTTACTAAACAGGTAATAAATTTAAGCTAATTATTTATGTTAATATTACATAAATCATTATTTCAATTATATTTATTTTAAAGTACACTCATAACAACGTAAACTCACAATGTTCTCAGCTTCAAGCTACAGGGCACATTAATACGGACAAGCTTAAAATCTTGCGATACGTATTATTGGATTCACATAAATTCCTCATATTTTTCGAAAAATATTTAAAATATTTTAATACTCAAAAAATAAAATATTATCTTCGATATCGTACGCATTAATAACTTAACTTAACAAAAAAAATATTTTTTCTTATTTATTTGTGCTAGTTTTCTTTATGAAAACTTATCGAAATACAAAAGCACATTAATAGGGACAGGCATAGTAATTGAGACAGTTTATATATATAAAATATATATATATATATATACCCTATATAATTACAATTTAATTGTAGCAGATTTATGAATTTATTCGATATGCATAGGTACATTATTATGATAATTTATTATAATTTATAATTTCTGATGCGAGTAAAAA